GTGATATTTCAGTTTTGTCTTTTTAATAAATTAATTTTATTAAATTAATATAAATTTACAGACATTTCTAAAATTTGTTTTCACTTTGTCATTATGGGGTACTGAGTGTAGATTAATGAGAAAAAAATGAAAAAAAAATGAATTTGAATGATTGTAGTATCAGGCTGCAACGGAACAAAATTGAAAAAAGTGAAGGGGGTCTGAATACTTTCTGAATGCACTGTATCATGGGTATGGTGATGAAACTCAGTTGTATAACTTAACCCCAGGCCAAACAGCTGATGTCAAGGTCTTGTCCCAATGTACGGAAGCTGTGGAGGTCTGGATAAGAGGGAATACGCAGCTTAACTCTGGTAAGACCAAGTGGCTGTGAATATTTGGACACCAAGTCCCAGAGATTTTCCATCTTTAGTCCTGAATGGGACTATATTTCCTTATTAGAGATTAGTGCACAATTTGAGTTTGCTTCTGGACTTGCAGCTCTTACGCAAGGAGCAGGTGGCAGCTGTAGCCAGGATAAAGTTTGCAGAGATTCATCTTGTATACCAGCTGTGCCTGTTCTTGGACTGGGAGGCCTTTTACCTTGATCAGTTCACATGCGGACTACTGCAATATATTCTACATGAGGCTGCTCTTGAAGAACATTTGGAAGCTGCAACTGGTCCAGAATGCAATAGCACATGCAGTTATGGGTATACTACAATATGCTTACATAACACATCTATTTCATGAGCTATACTGATTACCAGTTGGTGCAGGTTTTTACCTATAAAGCCTTTCATGGCAGAGAGCCTAGTTATCTGGGGGACCATTTGTAGTTTTTGCCCATCCTGAACAGTTGGACAAAGTTGGCATGGTTTGGGTCTTACTGATTAAATAGCATAATCTGATGGGACACAGGAACAGAACCTTCTCTGTCACAGAGAAGGAACAGCACCCCCCCTCCCAAGATGTGTATGACCCCCTACCCTGACCTCATTTAAAAGGCCCCTAAAAACCTGGCTCTTCCTCCAGGCCTTGGGATAGGATACATAGCAAGCCTCTTATAGAAATGTTTTATGTCCAGGTTATGTGTTTTATAGTTCTTTCTGGACGTTTTAAAACATTTATTATATTGTTCTGAATCTGTTTTTAATACTATATGCCACCCAGGGTCATTATGAAGTTGGATGATCTTACAAATTTGATAAATAAATTTATGCATCTCTAAGCTTTATACTTTCACATCAACTAAAGTGCCATTCACCTTTATGAATTTTTGCTCTGAGCTGACCAGTATATTGTATTGTAATTCTTGAAAATGTTAAACATATACAGTTTTTGACAGTTTGTAGCTGATTTGAAAAACAACGTATACATTTTAAAAAATCTTAGGACAATTGTATCCAACAATTCTGCCTCTTAAAACAGCAAAGATGACAGTCTGAAAAAGTTACATAGCACGTATACAAAACAGGCTGTATGTTTTATACCTGTATCAGTTTCATGTTCTTTATTTTCATCTGTCAGAGGGTTATCATGGAGCTTCAAGTATATTTCTATGGCAATTCTTGCAGCTTTAAAATAAAATGGGTGCTGTCGAAGTACATCCTCTAGTTTTAACAAGTCTACATATGACCGAAGTGTAATTTTCCTCATACAGTATGTGTGGAAGTCAAACTGGTCATCTGTGATTTCTACAAAATGCTAACACAATATGTAATTATCTAGCAAGCATCCAATGTTACAATGATACACACTTATCTTTGAAATTACTACTGAGGTTCTAAAACTGAACTCAACACCATAAAGATAAAGGCTGCTAATTTAAGCAACACATAAGTAACAGTATCCAAAGTTTAGCATTTAAAACAGATAACAATTTAGCATCAAATCCAGTCCTTGAAATCTGTAGTTTAAAAGGCTGTCAGATAACATAGCAGGACGGAAGTCTCTGCCCAAGGATCAAACCCAACATGACAGTCACATCATGATGGTAAAAACTAGGTTTTAAAAATTGGTATGGCAGTTATAGGTGGGTACAGGTAGCCCTTGCTTACTGACCATTTGTTCAGCGACTGTTTGAAGTTACAATGGTGCTGAAAAAAATAACTTTATGGCTCATTTATGATCATTTACGACCTTTCCAGCGTCCCTCTGTCATGTGATCCCCGTTAGAGTCAGGATGCATTGTCCTGTGCCCAACCTGTGTTTTTTTTCTCCCCACTCCCTTGCAAAATGGATTGATTGGAGAGAAAAGGATTGCAAGAAAGTAAGCTTTTGCTTTTCTACACACCGAAAGTAGTGCAACTGCACCAGGAGCCTGAGGCTGGGAGCTGCAAGTGCACTACACAAACAGCTTACAGTACTCTCTTGAAATCTTTTCTCTCCAATCTCTCTGCTCTGCGGGGTGGGGTGGGGGAGGATCAAGCAAAGGAGAGATTGCTACAGAAATCGCTTTTTTTCTCCCCACCCCCCTCGCAGAGCGGAGAGATTGGAGAGAAAGAGATTTCAAGACAGTACTATAAGCTGTATGCGTAGTGCACCTACGGCTCCCAGCCCGTCTGCAGCATGATCGCACTGCTTTCAGTGTGTAAAAGACAGTAAGCAGGGACTTGAGCGTTCCAAAGGGCGGGGGAGTGGTTAGAAGGCAAACAAAAGCAGAAGGTGTGAAACTGACTAATCTTGTCTGTTTCCAGTCAGAAAGCACAGTCGCGATCACATGATTTCCCACTTAGTGACCGCTTCACTTAGCAGTGGACTTGCCAGTCCCAATTAGGGCCATTATGCAAGGACTACCTGTATGCACATATGCAAAAACAATGATGGCCTGCAAAGGACATTAACCTGTCTTCTAGGTCACCATCTAAACAAAACTCCTTCTCAATTTTTAGTATGGGAGTTAGCAGGTTAGTAGGTCTGATCTTTGGACAGCTCCTTATTTATGACTACCAACAATCTATCTCCTCACTACATTATAAAGCACTGAGATTATGGACACTTCCTGCACACACATCCAAAAATGTTTTTATTTTATTTATATATATATATATAAAAAAATAAAAAATAAAAAATGAAGAAAGCTAGTTTCACTCTTATTTCCTGTAGTTCTTTTGAGAAATAGATAGGCCTGAAGGACATAAAATTGTTGATGGCCACAGTTTGGTACTATGCTTAGAAACGATGAATATACATAATTTTAAAGATAACCTGGAGAGGTAGGAAGCATCCTTGGTGGCAACTGGATGGTAAGGAGCAACTTTACCAGTTTGCCTTCTGGTAAATCAGAGCTTAATTACTGGCCACACCACAACCATGACAACTATTTTGCAAACACACAAAAAGCCACCATGGCAGCAATTTTTAAAAGCATGAATGTTTTCAAAATGTTATATGGCCCTAAAAGTTTAGGAAGTTCAGAAAATGGTATTGTGTGGCCAAAGAAATGACACCAATATGTCAACAGTTTTGAAGAGCATTTTTAGCCACTCAGTGACTTTGGGTCAGTTAATCTCTCTCAGGTCCACTTACTTCACTTGGTTGCTGTAGAGAAAAATGGGAGGAGGGGAAACTATATACACAACTTTAAGCTCCTGAATGAAGGCAGGATATACATCTAATAAATAACTATATCTCAACAAATAACTAAGAGTTCCTCTGGCAATCATTCCCATTGGAAATCCTTTCATAGTTCATTCTTAAAGTTAATGATGCTTCAGAAGCACATGTTTGCCAAAGGGATATATAATTAAAGTGTGGTTTGGAGAGGATTATTTTTCAGTATCATACTTGCAGTATGCTATTGGAAAGAAAAGCTTCAGACTTTATGTGAAGTATGGCCCACCACACATTCAGACTACATCCAATGCTGCCTTTATAATGCATGGCAAAATGTAACATGTAGGAACAAGAACTATGGTAGGAGCAGCTTAGGCAGGAATGTGTTTAAAAAGCAGTGTGTCAATGTGGAGGTAATATCAAACTAGTTTGGCAAATGGAAACAAACATGGAAGATTAATTTGTTCCTTTTTTCTCTTGGTTAAGATCTCTTCTACCTCATGGATTTGCTAACAGTAACTAGCCATTCCATTTGATCTGAGAGACTATAGTTAGTAACTTGGTTCCAATTCATGTCTAAAGTGGATATGTAAACTATAGTTTAGAAACAAAGCACACAGTCTGCTAAGTCAGATATCATGGCAAGCTATAGTTTCCTAAATCACAAAGTGGTCAAAGAAAGGTACGAGACAGGAAAGAGTGAGTAAGGGTACATTAATCTTTAGATTTCCCAAATATGATAAAACATGGTTTTGTGCTATATCTGAACTGAACTGTACATGTCACAAAGTGTAACTTTAAAGTTACATGTAGTTTTTCTTAAGTTACTTTAAATAGAAAAACACAGAAATATGTGATCTTACAAAGAAATATAAAGTACTTCCCATTATTAAATAACAATATGAATGAAAAGAGAAATATAACATGCAACACATACAAATCCTTATAATCAAAATACTAATACTTTCTCAAACCTTATCCCTGAAAAATAAGACAAGAAATATTAATGTGAAGTCATTAAATACATACTCTCTCAATTTCATGGCATTTTTTAAGTGCTTCTCCAAATTTATTCATTGTTTTATAAGCTTGGGCATATTCTGTCTGGAACCACATACACTGCATTTCGTTCAAATTTTCCACTGCTGATGTTCCTTCCTAGAAAGAAAAAAATTAGAAATATCAGGCATGACCCTTTGCTACAATCATTTGCTTATAAAAAAGGAAACTCAGAAGATTAAATGTTATTTTTATTCTGAAATTTATTTTTTAATAATGATCCGCTTTTAGAGCAAGAAAAATATGTTGCTATGAACCAGCTATTTTCCATCAATACAAATGGAGGCATATAGATCCAAATGCAAAAGATTCAGAAGTATATGTGTTCCATTATATTTTAGCAGCTGAGGGGAAGGGAAGTACAACATAAAAACATCAGACATACATTGGTAGGATAAGAACTGGTGGTAACTGACCAAGAATGTTGCTTTGTGAAAATGCAACATCTAACAGCTATTAAAAAGCTCGAATTCCATACTGGAATAGACAAATAATCTGTCATGAGCAACCACAACTCCGAAATTACTGCAGTAACCTCTTAAGTGAAAAGATTACATCTGGGATTCTTTAGCTTAGGAAAACAAGGGGAAGATTATAGACATAATATGATCCAAGGATCCCCCAAAAAAAGACTGGTCTCTCCCAGATCCTGGACCATGTGAAAAGTTTATATATATATATATTTATTTATATAAACTTATATAACTTATATATATATAAGTTTATTTATATTTATATTTATATTTTAACAAAGCATGAAAAATATGATATACACTATCACAAGATGTATTGATGTGTAACTAGCCTGAATGACTTAATCTACTTTTAGATTAAATAAGCTCATGGAGATAAAATGCTATGTATGAAGCCATCAGGAGTCAAGCTAAACTTGAAAAAGACTTTTGCCTTTTTTCATCTCTAATATGAGAAATGTACACTGATCAGTATTAAACTAAATAACTCTTAGATTATATAAGAGGCTCTTATATTAAAATAACATTGGACAGACTAGAACAGCCCTCTTCATATTTATCTCAAGTTTTAGCATCCAAAAAGCACTTTAAAAGGCAATAACTGACATATAACAACAATAAATAACAGTATTTCCCCAAACAGTGGTTGACATTCTAATTGCCATGTATAAAACTAAAAAGTATAATGAGCTAAACAAACCCTTGTAAATTTAGAACACATTTCTTCAGCTTCTTTTATCAAGTTGGCTTTTAACATGTATTTCGCACATTTGGAATTGATAAACCTATCTGCTGTGTCCAGTGCCTGAGCCTCATCCATCCACCTTGCAGCCTCTTTTATGTTTCCAGCATGCTTAAATGACAGAAGAGAAGCAAGTTAGATACATAACATTAACTGCAGTTTGGCACATCATTATTTGATATGTTATAAAAATGCTGAGATAAGAAAGATAGAGGTGACAATATTATGTTGTCCCCTAAATTATTCTTTCAAAGTTATGGAAGCATAGAGCATATTTACTCCAAAGCAAGTCCTATATTTTAACATGATTTACTCCCAAGCGAATGTACATAAATTGCAACCTAAATAATTAAAGAAATATTTTCTTTATAATTCTGTAATTCTTGAAAAATTCTAAATTTTCTAAAATGGAAAGAAAAGTTTAAAACAAAATAAAAATACTATACACAGTTGGCCAATACAACAGAGTCCCACAAAGACAGCTGATGTCCAACTCAGTGCTATAACAATGAAGAGTTACCTTATAGATTTTAGCTTTCACAAGGAACAGTTCTATCAATGTGGGTGTGCTTTCTATTGCAGCATTGATATAGTCTAGAGCTATGGATGGCTGTCCAATTTTGTCATAATGCTGTGCCAAGTAGTACTGGACCCAGAGTAAAGTTGTTGGAGGTTCTTCTTTACCATCATCTATTCAGACAAAACGTTACATTTGTTTTTAATCCAGCTATATAAATGAACATTGGCATTGCCTGTAATCACTAATCAGTTATTTTGGTGAGGATGGATTAACAGGCAAAGGTGATTAGATAGAGTTAAACTAGATATATTCTATTTTCTCTTTTAAGAATATTTCATGGAAGATATGCTGCATATTTCTGCTACCTTTATATTCCAGAAAAAGCATATATCAAAACATGTTTTAATATGATTTGGGAAAATATCTCTAGGCTGTAGCTATCACACTAAAATGAAAATGGAGGCCAAATCCAAGCATACACAATAGCTCCAATACACTGCTACTGACAATCCAAACTTGCCCCAACCATCTTATACAAAGGTAGCAATCAGAACATAGCCTACATTTAAGGTAACCCTGGGTCTCGATATGTCTGCAGTTTATGGGAATGAGTAATGGAAATGGGGAGATCAAAATTATACATTGTAACTGCAAGAACTGCTTGATGATCCACATCTGCATGAGTATTTTCTCCATGAAATACTGATTACTGTCAATAAGAACACCATAGTGCTGTAGCACTCACCATTTGGGTTAAATAGCCTGCAACTTTTCAGAGATGTTTCATAACCCACCACCAGTTCCTCTATGATTGCCACCTATGTATAGAAAAGAAATGTATAAATTTTAGTTCAATGGATTACAGAACATAAACACACTTTTATTCATTAGTATAAAAACAATTATGATTCTTAATGTATCTATGTCACAATGTGACGGGGTTCATTTTTGGACTGGAGGTGTATTATGAAGCAAAGGTGGCAATGGACACAGTAACACACAACAGGGGAGGCTTTTTAATGTTTTTTTAAAATTTTTTTACTATATACAGAAGGTATTTACAAAAGGTATTTACAACACAGGGTGAGTAACAGTGCTTGTGTTGGGTTACTTCCCCCTCTACTTCTGCTCCCTTTTCTCTTCATCTCCCTCCTCCCTTTTTAGGCTTGATAAGAGAGAGAAAAGAAAAGAAAGGAAAGGACTGAAATTACTGGAGTGCACTCATTGTTGCTTGACTTTCTTCCCAACTCAGCTGAAACATTATCTGCTTCTGCGTTGGGGGAACAACTTCTTTCCGGGTCTTCTGCTCAGTTTTCACACAAGACTAGGGCTTCCATTCTGGCAGCTGATTCCCCGCTCTGCCCTCTCCAGGATCTAGGGTGAAGCTGCCACCTGAAATCAGCCGGATCCCTCCTAGCCCTTCCAGGGTCTGGGGTCTTGGGCAGAGTTCATCTCTCTGGGTCTTCTCACCCCAAACAGGAACTAACACTTGCCCTGTACACCTCACTTTGGTCTCCAGCTCTTCTCCAGCCTTTTCTCTCCAGCATCTCCTTTCACTCCAGCAACAAACTTTTACTCTTCACTCCTCTCTCTCTTCAATTTTGGGTTACTCTGGCAGCATGTTCCACAGCAACTGAGGAGGGGGTGTCCTCCCAGGGCTCTACTCCCCAACAGCTATATACCTCAGTCTACCGATGGGACTGCTCACTCAGAATCTCCCCACATCACCCTGGCTAGCAGCCAGGTCAGCTCATCAGGCCTCATGGCAGTACAGCTGCCCTCCAAGGCCACAACTAAGCTTTTTTTTTTTTCCCCTTTTCCTTTACTCTATGTCTGGCTCACACCAGCAAAACTGCAGCCATGACAGGTCTCAAAATCCATATCCTACAATCTGTTTATATATATCTTATATATGTATCAGGTCAGTCAACAATTACAGGTAGTCCTTGTTTGGTGACTGCAACCAGTTCCAATGACTCAGTCGTTAAGTGAAATGGTCACTAACTGAACATGTAACAGAGAGGAGAGACACTGTGAAGATCACTGATTGCTGCTGTCTCATTCAGATAAAGTTCTCTCATATAATATCCTGTGCCTGACCATTTTTTTTCCTCTGGCAGGGCAGAGAGATTGCTTGAACAAAATATCTCTTCCGGAGCTTCCCTAAGGTGATAACCCCAAGTTAATAAGCTCAGCTCCCTGACCTTAATTAGTTGATTAGAACCAGCTGGCAGCTGCAGCCTGAAACTGACCAGACCTTAATCAGTTTCACACTGAAGGCTTTTGTTGTGCTATATGCATGCATTGGTTGGAAAAATGAATTATTACCATTTATTACTGCTGTATTTGCAAATGGTTACTATCTGAGCCAGCTGCTAAAGGAGGACTATCTGTACTCTTACTGGAGGGTCACATTCTATCCTTCTTAGATAGCAGATTAGAATTAGCCTTGTTGCCATAGCCACAGTTCTCTTCTTTTGTCTACGCTCACTTTTCTTTAAACTTCTCTTGTTTTATGCTAATGTTGACATAGGTACCTCTGAGTGCTGATCATTTTTCTAGAAAATACATAACAGGAAGTTATCTTGCACTTCACTAACTTAGCAGAAAAGTTTAACATGGTATGGGGGGGGTTATAGCCTTGGGGAAGCACCCCCTTAGCTTTGAGAAACTAGTTTTTTCATAGAGAATCAACTTTTTGTTCCATAAAAATATACAGGTCTCATTTTCTATTTCCCTATAAGTGCTAAGTTTTATACCAAGCACAGTTATCTTTCAGGGTCTTCATAATGCAAATACATTAAACATGTTTCTTTATTAAAGCCTGGAATTTGTAGGCAACTACTTTAAAGTCCTCTGGTGAAACTTAAACCACATAGACAAAAAAGAGATTTCTGCCTAGGAAGCATTACAGAACTCCAAGCATCTACTCATGCCTACACATAGCAGCCTTCATCTCATGCAAATTTAGACCCACAGCTGGATCTCTGAAAACTTAACATTTACAAAGGGCAAAACTATAAATTGGTATGCAGAAATTCTCATTGGCCCATTACATGAATATCTTTATTACAAAACTAATTACAGTTGGCACACTATTTGATTGAAAATCATATTAGAAAATAATCCAAATTTTTAAAATACACGCACAAACCTTTTCTTTATCTTTGTATAGTGACCGTAATGTATTGAAAACTGGGGGGCAGCCTTTGCTGAAATTCATCCTCAGAAATTTGTCCAAGCATTCCTTAAATTTGTCACCTAAAGAAAAATATGTGTGAATTCTGCTGCAAACATGTTTTTCAAACCAAACAAATGCTATACTTTTCTTCAATCAGATGTGCTGAATTACAATTCCATCATACCTGGCTAGCATGGCTAATGGCTGGCCTGGTACTCTGTAATGTCTATAGCAGGTTAAATAATTTCTGACATTTTAAAAGAGAAGATAATGAGAAAAGATATAACACCAACATAAACCTCTCTGTCTGTTTTACAGATAGGTTTAAGTATCCAAAGAAAACTCACCAGATAAAAAGTTTAATGGCAGTCGTCTTGGAACTAGTCCCCTTGGGTATTTAGTCCAGGCTTCTTCATAGATCTTGAACCTCTCTAACATATTAGCTAGGAGAACAAAATCACGTTTTTATAGATTCATATGCAATCTAAGCCGCCAATCAAAACTTACATTAACTGCCATGGATTTTAAAAATATAACAAAAGCTATAGAATAGAAACAGAATTAATCTGGCTAAATATCAAAGTGAAAATTCCAGAGTCCCCTTCAGTATGACCAGCACTTTGGCAAAAACGATTAACATTATGCTTTTTAAACAGCAGTTCCTCAGGCCAAATTATAAGCAGAATTTTAAAAGCTGGTTCCTAGGAGGCATCAGGCTTTTAGAAAATAAGATTAGTTAATGAGACATAAATGTAACAAAAGCCCTGATTATCTGTTAGTTCTTCTGGCTATGGTTTTTAAAAAGTTGAATGTTTAGCATGGTTTTGCTGAAATTATTTCCAGATAGAATAGCAGTGTAACGAAAACTACATCTGATTGATGCACTTAAAGAAGATTTTCTATTTGAAATGTTTTTAACTTAAAAGGTGTTGATCCTATTTCACTGAAAGTGTTCTGACCTTAATTGAACTGCTCTAAACTCCAAATGACCAGCCTGGATTACTTTCTGGTATAGTAAGGTAAGAACAGGATTTTCAATTTCAGTCATTTTGCACATATTTAGAAGTCAAAATACATTACAATGCAAGGATTACTGTTGTGAATCCTTCTTAAGTGATGTCACTATCCCTCTAAAAGTACTGATGATTGTGTAAGTTTATATATTATGTAAGATGTTTAAATTAATAATAGATTAATAAAAATAAAATAATGCGAGTGATGATTCCAGGAAGCATTTTGTTATATTTTTATGCCATAAAGAAGCTGGACTTCACTGAGCAATTCATAAGGTAGAGCTTAAAACTATCAAGTATAGCCACAAAATGTAAAAAACTGAAAAAACTGGCACCGCTACAGATAAATTAAAAGTAAAACCAATAGCAAGAGACTTCAGCAGTAGAAAAATCTACAATGTATTAACATTTAAAAACTGAAAAATTACAAAGCCTGGTACAATAAAGTTTTGTTTGCTCTTCTTCCTCCCTCCCATGGGAAACCCCCAATTCTTTGAAGCTGACCAGAACATAAGGGTTAGGGAGGGCCAGTCAGGGCTTCAGTAGGCAGCACCGTGGGCAGTATGCTAACAGAATCCTCCATCTCTACCTGTTTCCAAGACTAGGAAAAACACACTCAGTTTGAATCAATTGTCTCAGCAATATCCTAGTAAGGGAAACCCTGTTCTTATGGATCACAGACACACCGCTTTCCTACCTACTTCCACTGGCTTGCTGTGGTACCTGGTACCCAAGCTGGGCCCACCCTAGCTTTCCTATCTCCCCTACACAGGTCTGTGTTACACAAGCCAAGCCAGCTTTTTCTCTTTTTAAAAAATAATTTAATATGCGTGTTTGTGTGTAAATGTAACAAACAGAAAGTATGATAAAGTACAACCAAACGTATAACAGTGCTAATAAAATCAGAAAAGAATATATAGAATAATGAAAAGTGAATGACATTTGTAGAAACTAAAAGTATATCCACAAAATGTTAATACAGATACAGAATACAAATACAATCCTTTAACATATTATTAAATCTAACCATGTAAACCATCTTCTCAGTTTTAGCACAATATGTTCTGATACCATATTTAGATGATAGATTCTTAATATTCTATTATGTGCCTTAAAGTATTAAATGTAGATAAAAGAAAAGAAAAAACTGGATATTCTATCAATATTACAATTTCGAATGTTAATGTTACAGGCATTATAATTATTTGTCTTTTCTTCAAAATTAAATACAATGAGTATATAGTAAAATGAAAAAATGAAGGAAGAGCATACATCAAAGTATTTGTTTTACAATAACAGTTTCGGTCTAAAGTAAATTACTTGTTATTAGCTTTCTCATCCATGATCAAAACAAATAATGGTCTGTTTTATTTTGGATTCCCCTGGCATTACAGAAGAGCAAGAACAGGTTCATTCAGGGTGGCAACCACTGCTCAAGGCCTGAGAGAAGACACAGCTGCTAGAAGGGGAAATACTCCTAAAATCTTTAATCTCTTTTCTTTTGACCAGCTGCCCTGCCAAAGCCAAATCTATTTCCCTCATCATTGTGACAGCTGACCCTGTTTCCATAAATGAAAGATGTAACATGTCATTTAGAAAGGGTATCTTTTAGATGGAATGCTTCAGCCCAGCATCAAAGCATAGAAAACTGTCAGGAATTCTTAGTATCTTACCACTCGTAAGGAATGAAGCTGGTGAGGTAAGAACCCATGGTTTCTGGGCTAGAGAGAACTGTTCTGGGAACATTGTTCATGTGCCTCCCAAGGCATCCTGCTTTGGAAAGGCAGGAAACCCCACCCCCTAATTTAAATTTGAGGATAAAAAAGGTTTTGACTTCTGTGCACTGTAGGGGGCAAATCTTCTGTGGGTATATAGCTTCATCTTTGTCTGAATAGACACTAATCTACCTGAGTTATCTCTGAAAGTCTTCTGCCAGTAAACTAAACCTTTAACAAGGAGTTAAAAGTCTGGTGAACTAACATACTCAGCTGAGACTAGTATGAAACTTAATACCGTCCTCCAATCATTCTTGGTACAGGTAGTCCTAGATTTATACCCATTTGTTTAGTGACTGTTCAAAGTTATGACAGTGCTGAAAAAGTGACTTACAACCAGTCCTTGGACTTACAACCATTGCAGCATCCCCAGGGTCATGTGGTCAAAATTCAGGCACTTAGCAACTGGCATGTATTTATGATGATTGCAGTGTCCTGGGGTCATGTGATCAGCATCTGCAACCTTCTCAGGGGGCTTCTGGCAAGCAAAGTCAATGGGAGAAGCTGGATTCGCTTAATGACCATGTGATTCAGTTAATAACCATGGTGATTTGCTTAATGACTGCAGCAAAAGATTGTAAAATTGGGCACAACTCACTTAACGACCGCATTGCTTAGCGATGGAAGTTCCAGTGCCAATTGTGGTTGTAAGCCAAGGACTACCTGTATATTTGCCAGGATGGCAACCAACTCTCACTTTGGCTATTGCTTCCCAACACTCCACCTCTCAGCAGATGAGGTGAGATAAGGCTTAAACACCTCTCCCTCCTCCTCAATTTATCCTGACTCTTGCACAGGAATAAGCACAAACTGCTTTATAGAAACACATCTGTATATACTACTACTAGAGGGTATGGCCCTTGCCTTCATGTCATCCTGAAGTGGCTCTAAGGGACAACCTTTAGTGGTGTTACCCCCTTCAGGGCTTCTGCCACCAGAGGCATCATTGTCCAAGCCAGCTGGCTTCAATTGAAGTGTTCTCTAACAGACAGACAAAGGCTGGATGCCAAACACTCCCAGGGAAGAGTACTTGGCAGATTCTGAGCTGGCAAGCAATGAATCTTCACTTCAAGGCCAACCAGGCTGCAATGTAAGTGGTGGTGGAGTAGGGAACAGCTGTACGGCAGTGATTTTTAAAGTGTGGTCCTAGGACCCTTGGGGGGGTCTCCCAAAAACCTCTCAGAGTCCACAAAATCAAAATTATTTGCCAGCCTATGTTGAAAAATAATACAATATTAAAATCCC